CTGAGACAGGGAACATGTTAAAAAATAGACACCAAAAAATGGAACAGCATTCTGTTGTAACAAGACAATATCGTGTGTCACGTAAAATACACACCAGAAGTAGTTAATGATGAATTCTGGAGAAAACGTTTCTGTCAAAACGAATCAGTGTCTGTTGGTTGTCGATTGTTTGTGTTTCTATCAATAATAATTACTACCTTGTCTCCGACAAGAATAAAATACAGTTGTGAGACAAAAAGACACGGTTCGTGTGAGACTGGGCCAAACTGAGTTTCCGCAGGCGTCCGAACGCTACTCCCCGCAAGGATTAAAGAGCAGAGTATAATATCCAGCTCCTAATATAAGGCAGTAGGGCGTAAGTGGATCAGACCCACCACAAAGTGGACAAAGACCAAAAATCCCATTCACTGTATCCATGTTTCTCACATACGCGGACCAACTGCCTGCAGGTCGCAGCAGGGCTGGAAAACTCCCTCGCCTTCCAAGCAGAATTTGAAATGGGTATCCTCTACTTCATATGCACGTCCTAGATCATCCCACTATGCCTACCTGTCTGATACCAAGGCAGTGCCAAAATCGTAAATGTACAAAGTAAGTAGATGTAACCGCATGGATTGCAATGCACTCACACACTGCACTGCATTGCTTTGTACTGCATTCAAGACTGACTTCAAGATTGACGTCATGCGCTTTGTTTTGCTGAGTAATCACAAATGGCACCAGCCTGTTTTGCTGAAAAGAAAAACAAATCTTGCTTGCCCTGTTGTGCTCTTCCAGACAACGGATCATGCTTCAGCAGTGTTTCTTTTTCTTTCGTAGCTTTGCGGCCAACCTGAGTGTCACCTCGACACTGTATTTCTTCAGTATGTTTGACCTAACTGTCGACACTGTCAAGGCAATGCCTTGCCAAGCCATCCGTGGCGAGCTTTCTCAGCGCGGCTTGAAACCGAAGGGAAACTTAGTAAAAGTATTTTAAAGGACCGTTTGCTGGCACAGCTAGCCCTTGGTAGTGAGGTCTGCTCCGGCCAGGAGAACCAGCTACATGACAGTGCGGACACGGCTCGCGAGCCCAGAAGCCCGACTGGCAGCAATGCCTCCTCCGCCAGCTCAGGTGACGCGGGCTCAATGGATCTCTGCGCTCTCGTACGGGACGATGTGTAGTCGGCTTTGTCGGCCGCCATTACGGAGAGTATTGTGCCGCTCCTCACCCAAGACCAAGGCAGTGCGGCTGCTGCCCCCACTACGCCAGCCCAAGCTCCTGTAACCCACCCGATCAGCCACCTGCACCAGCTGTGCACAAGGCTGTGCAAGAACGTATCTTGCGAGGGGAGTTCATAGATTTTTCAAGTTTGTTGCCTGAAATTCTTGCACACTTCCGGCCCAACGTTCCGGCTGGCGCACAGCCCGAATAACGATAGCCAGCTAAATATCGTTGAGTCGGATGACGCGAAGCAGGTGCGTCGCAAGGTTCACGATATAGCTACCCGGCTCGAGGCATGGACAATATACATGTCTGTTATCACGGCTGCTACCCCACACCGTACTGCTGATTGCATACCAGCAGTTAATCCGGACTGCTAACCGGCAGTTCTTCCCAAGCGCATGGCTAGAGTACGACCGCCAGCTGTGGATGCTCATGGCCCAGTAACCAGGCACGAAGAGGTTGGACACCATCGACGTGAACCTATGGCAAATAGCTTTCACAGGCCATGCACACCCAAAATGCGCTCAATGTAAGACGGCCCATCCAGGGGCGGTTTGTGTCCTTTTCGTCTCCAATCTCAATTCCCCAGGCCAGCGGCATTTACCTCCTGTGGTCGCACCCATACCAGCGACGGCCAAGAAATCTGCCGCAACTTCAATGGAGGTCGCTATTCTCCGTCGCCGTGCTGCTTCTCCCACACCTGCAGTCAGTGTGGCAAGGACCACCCATGCCAGGGGCGTAGTAGGGGTTTTGGAAGTGGTACGACCGAAGGTGGGTGCGGCCGAAGGCCGTGTTGGAGGGGGGTCCGGGGGACCTCCCGCGGGACAATTTTGAAAAAAAGACACAAAATCCTGCGTTCTGGGAACTTCTGGCACACTCCAGTCCAGGCGCAGTGTGCAGTCGAGTCGAGTACAGTACTCACTCAGTACGACTGCTACTCTAGATGCATAACAGATCTACGAGTACGAGTCTAGAAAATGGTCAAAGTCTGATATGCATACATGTACATGTACATACATGTATGTATGCATCGATGGATCCTGATTTTTTAATACGGTTTTGCACGTTCCAGACGGACCACACTTTTCGAAAAGTGGTACGGCCATGGTCGTACCAGTCGTAGCGGGTGCTACGCCCCTGCATGCATCAGGTGCAACCAGCAGCAGTGCAGAGCCAATCGGCCACCCTGCCGCTCCTAGCAGAATGGCTACTGAGTCGCTTGACTCGGTACGTAGCTTCTTTCCTATACACTCTGCAGACACCCCACTGCTAGCTGACCACTTTGCCCGCCTGTTACGGAACCACCCAGATCAATCATGTGTTGCGTATGTTCTCCTTGGCCTGCGCTATGGCTTTGCTCTTGGACTTGCCGGCCAACACGACATTCCGGTGTTTTCTACTTGGTCCGGCTCATCGCAATTGTCGCTCATCTCCCACGCACTTTTTGACAGGTAAAACCCAGTCCAATCACGATATCTAACTTACTTTTGCTTGGGAGGTTGTGATGGCAAGATCAAATGGGGCACCAAAGAAAAAAATTATCGCGACTAGCGCTTTGAATCGTGATGTGTTCCACTTTTTTGGGAAGTGAAAATCTGGCCATTCACTGTCTGTGTTGCCAAAAAAGCGCAGCGCGTGACCCGAAGACCGGAACTGTAGCATGCAGGGCAACTGACATTCTGGAGAGCGTGACAGGCACGCGTGCACGGCAGAGGAGTATGAGGGTTATGCTGAAGAAGAAAGGTGTTTTCGATGCGATGCGCGCATGCGAGGGAAGTTTTGGTTGTTCCTTTTGTTCCTTCGTGGACCTGGCAGTAGCATTACAAGAGTCGTGGTCAGCGTATCCAGTGGAGCGTATGACAGCTGTCTGGAGAGGCCTGTATGCCTCATTCGAAGGCTTTGTTGAAACACACTGTGATGACACAGAGGTCACACTGCCCACAGTTCCTTCAAGCACCGAAGTGACAGACACAACTGTTCCTTTTCCATTGCTGCCATACGACACTCGACAGGCTGACAAAGCAAGAGATGTTGTACCAGTCTACGCCAGCAGCTAGACACCAGCAATTTAATGTCAGCTCATGTAACGGCGGCAGCTCGAGTGATGGAGAGTTGAATAAACCGTCTGGATCTGTAGGAGTGTGAGTGCAAGAGCGCTCCTTGGCTGATTTATTTCGTGCATTTTGCTTCCCTTCTATGACTCGCTTCACCTGATTCCAGGGCTGAATTTTGTTTCTTGTGGCGGAGAGTATTCATGTATCATGCTTCCTAACTATGCCTATTGAACATTTAACAGAGCGGCAACAAAACTCCTGTTCTTAGTGGCGATAGATAAGCGACAATTGCGATGAGCCGGACCAAGTAATAATCTGCCCTCGGCTTTCACTCACTCAGCATTTATTTCCGAGCAATTAGCTGCTTCCTGCGCCTGCAGCGAGACCACAGGCCCATTTCCGTCACCTCCATTTCAGTTCATGCGCCGCTCTGGTATTGGTGCCGTCCTCAAAAAGAACGGCAAGCTGCGAATGATCCACCATCTGTCTAGTCCGGAAGGCACCGGCGCGAACGACAGCATTCCCGCCAAGCCGCTTTCTCTGCACTACGGGAGCATTGACAACGCGATCAACATCATCATGTCATGCTCACAACCTGTGTATTTGTCCAAGCTCGATGTACGCAGTGCATTTCGGCAGATCCCAGTCCGCCGTCAGGACTTCGCTGGGAAGGCTCCTACTACTACGAGCGCTTTCTGCCTTTCGGCCTTCGCTCTAACCCAGCCGTCTTTGATTCAGTAGCCACCGCCGTCAACTGGATCATGCAGCATGAGTTTGCTACAGATCACCGGCTTCATTACCTCGATGACTTTCTCGATGTCTCCACTGGTTTGGTTGCAGCCAACCAGCAACTGACCATCCCTTTCCGGGCATTCACGCATCTTGGCATTCCTCTTTCCTCCATCCAAGCTCGAAGGGCCATCACCATCATTGACCTTCCTTGGTATTTTCCTAGACTGCGAGCGCCACAAAGCTCGGCTACCCGAGGACAAGCTGTCGGAGATCCGTGCAAAACTCATGGCTACTATCAGCGAGCGCAGCATCGGCCAGCGTCAACTCGAGTCCCTCCTGGGGAAGCTCGCTTTTGCTGCCCGGGTCATCATTCCTGGACGCACATTCATGCGTCAACTATGATCAGTGTGCCCTGAACTGTATCTGTGTATGTGAGTGCGGTGCATAAAGCCCATCTTGAGAATGGGTTTGCCGGCCCCTTAGTAGATGCGTGGCTTCTGAATAGGGTGATGAAGGGCATTCAGCGATGCCATGGTACGGCTGTACTCACCTCTCGCCTTCCTATCCCTATGCCAATCCTACGACACCTGACGGATGCACACCGGAACAGTAGTATCTTGAATGGCCCTGAAAAGCTGCTCTACGAAGCCGCCATGCTGTTAGCGTTCTTTGGATCTCTTCGACGTGCCGAATTCACTAATGGCATCACACGGGGCTGCACTAGCTCCCCTGCTGACGGACGCCTGCATCTCTTCCTGCTTTCATCCAAGACGGACGCATTCGGTAAAGGCGTTATTAGTGACATTGGCCTGTCTGTACCGCCGTACTGCCTTGTCCGTGCCATGGTTAGCTACCCATTCGTCACTCGTCGCGATGGACCGGAGCAGCTCTTGTTCGTACTCTCGAACGGACAGCAGCTGACCAGGCAGTCATTCACAGTAACAGTACGGTCTCTTGTCGCTGCGGCCGGTGTACCATCCCAGTCGAACTACTCCGAGCATTCAGTTCAC